GAAGCTGCCTGCTTCCCCTTTGTCTTCCACCATAATTATAAATTTCCTTACAATCAGGAGAACTGTGAGTCAACTAAATCTCTTTCCTTTATAAATTACCCAGGCTTGAGCAGTTCTTTATAGCAGTATGGGAATGGACATGGTTTAAAGCAAGCTTGTCCAACCCGCAGCCCAAGGGTCACATGCAGCCTAGGACAGCTTTGAATGTGGCCCAACACAAATTTATAAACTTTCATAACACATTATGAGATTTTTTTTGTGATTTTTTTTTTAGCTCGTGAGTTATCCTTAGTCTTAGTGTATTGTATATGTGACCCAAGACAATTCTTCGTCTTCCAGTGGCCCAGGGAAGCCAAAAGATTGTACGCCCCTGGTTTGGAGTAAAGAAGACTTAAAGAACATGATAGCTATAGTACTTAGCATGTTTTCAATTACAAGTAAAATAATAACCCATCAAACTGTTTTCAGCAACAAAGATAATTTATGGGTTCTTATAACTTAAAACTTCAAGAGTATGTTGTATTTTAGGTGAGGCTCAATTCAGTGGCTTGGTTAATCTTTCTCTCTACTTTGCTTTCTATAATGTTGGCCAAAATTGGCTGCCACTCTCTCCTTCTTTGGGACAATTTAGCTGCTGGTTTACTCGCAGTCATCAGAGCTATGTGCTGCTTCTTTCATATCAAGCAAGTGTTAGAAAAACCTTCTTTCCCCAGTAGCTTGCTGGAAAAAAGAAGAATCTTCTTTCCCCTGACCCCAGGAAGTATCTCTTGTATCTCACTGGCTAGAGTTGTGACTTTTGCCAATTTCTGAACCAATTATAGTGGGCCATTCGGATAATGTACACAAAGTAGTGTAGCTAATCAAAAATCTACCTCTTGAGCAGAGATATTGTATCTATTAGACTACTAGGAGAAACAGAATCAATAGGAAGTAGATAAATGCATATATATCACATATATATATATATATGATATCTTATTACATGAAGAAATTTATTTCAAGGAGTTGACTCACCTGATTGCGGAGTCTGACATATGTGAAATCTGTAGGACAGTCCAGTAGGCTGGAAACTATCTGGTAGAAGCTGATGTCGTGGTCTTGAGGCAGAATTTTCTTCTTCCTCTGGGAAACTTCAGGGCTTTCAGCTGATTGGATGAGGCATATCTACATTATTAAGGATAATTGCCTTTAATTAAAGTCAGCTGATTGTAGATATTACAAATATTTACAAAATACACATAAACTAGGGTCTGATTAAGTAACTGGGCATGAAAGCTTAGCCAAGTTGATGTATAAACTATCATGGATATGATAATCTTTCCCAAAATATTTAACTGAAATTATGAGTTCCTTTTGGAATTGACAGATTGGAAACTAAGGTAGCCAACAAATATCCTTTACAGTAGCTAACAGTACATGTATGAACAGCTGCTCTGGGAAATAGGTTTTCAACTTGTTTGACATAGGGGAATACTAGGGACAAAAGTTATAGAAGTAGTGATAAAATAGCTATCAAGTAAAAAAGAACTGTTTAACAAAACAGTAGTGAGTTCCTGTTACTGAAAATGTTCAAATGTGAACTAAGGACTGTGGTGTAACACCCCAGATTAAGGCCCAGTTATTATGTGTTCCTTAACTTTTGGGGAAAGTACGGTTTTACTTAAGTGGAGTTCACTAGAAAACAGGCATAATTTTATTTTACTCTTATATTAATATCAAATAGTACCTGAGATATTATGTCTGCCAGGATTCTCCAGAACAAGTAGTATGTACGCACACACACACTATGTATATATGTGTTTGTGCATATATATGTACTCTCCACATTTTATATGTGTGCGCATATATATATACACACACACACCTATATGTGTATATATATGTGTAAACATATATGTGTGTGTGTGTATATATATAGAGAGAGAGAGACAATGCGTGTGTGTGTGTGTGTGTATGTGTGTGTATAAGGCATTTTATTTGTAAATATGTATTACATGTCTAGAAAAAGAATCCCAGGATTTTCCTCTGTGTGTTTTCTTCTTGCTTCATCATGGTCCATGAGGCCAGCTGAGGTTGTCATTACAATGGAACCAAACTGGCAGGATGGAAGCAGATTATTCTGCCATTTTTCTAGATCTTTGAGTTGTACATCAAATCTGTGGCTGATCACTCCACACTTGTTTAGTGATGAGGGATCACCTCACACTTGTTTAGCCTGCCTGTGAGGTTCACAACAATTTTCCCAGCATTATGATCATCAGTGATTTCAAATTCGCCAATGTAATCATGCTTCATCATCACAGTGAGAAACCGGACAATAACTTTGGAACTCAGCCTAATAAGAACCTGGTGTTTGCCTCTCTGTCTGGCACTGTTGATGCTCTTGAGAGCATCAGCCAGGACACCCATGTGCACCATTGTGGTGGTGTGGAAGGAGCTATAATTTATGTTTTTAGTATATATAAAGAAATTAATTTTTCCTCAAATAGCCTAGCCACGAGTTCCTCTCCCCACTATATTCTTGCAGATAAAGTTACCTAGCCAAACAACCCTTTCTATCAAAGGGATCAGGCATAATTTTTGCTTATCCCTCATTAGCAGGTTCAATTCCTGCCAGCTCAAGGGATTATCCAAACAAACCAATCACATTCTTCTGGGAACTAGGGGGCAACCCAACCTCTTAAAATCTGCTTCTCACAGCCCCTGGTTTTCCACTCTCTTCCCGAGTGCAACCCCTATGTGACCCTGTATGGCAAGTAATGGCTTCTTCCCTTTGGCTGGGAGGGGAATATATGTGATTAATAAACTTTTGACTCAGAAGACTTGCATGCAGCCAACAAACCGTATGGAAAAAAACTCAACACCACTGATCATTAGAGAAATGCAAATCAAAACCACAAATGAGATACCACCGCACACCATTCAGAATGGCTATTATTTAAAAGTCAAAGAATAACAGATGCTGGCAAGGTTGCAGAGAAAAAGGAATGCTTATACACTGTTAGTGGAAGTGTAAATTAGTTCAACTATTGTGGAAGACAGTGTAATGATTCCTCAAAGACCTAAAGTCAGAAATACCATTCAACCCAGCAATCCCACCACTGGTATATACCCAAAGAAGTGTAAATTGTTGTATTATAAAGACACATGTGCATGTATGTTCATTGCAGCATTATTCACAATAACAAAAACATGGAATCGACCTAAATGTCCATCAGTGGTAGACTGGATAAAGAAATGTGGTACATCTACACCATGCAATACTAAGCAGCCATAAAACAGAATGAAACATGTCCTTTGCAGGAACATGGATGGAGCTGTAGGCCATTATCCTTAGCAAACTAACGCAGGAACAGAAAACCAAATACCACATGCTCGTGGTTTTAAGTGAGAACTAAATGATGAACACACATGGACACATAGAGGGGAACAACACACACTGGGGCCTGCCAGAGTGGAGAGGGTGGGAAGAAGGAGAGGATCAGGAAAAATAATTAATGGATACTAGGCTTAATACCTGGATAATGAAATAACCTGTACAACAAACCCCCATGATACAAGTTTACCTATATAACAAACCTGCACATATACCCCGAACTTAAAAGTTAAATAAAATTTAAAAAATAAATAAAATAAAAAAAACTTTTGTTTCTTCTGGCCAGTGTTGGGTCAAATGAAATCCTGTGTTTGCCCATCTTCACAGACTTAGAATTGGAAGCCCTCTCTCACCAATGGTATATACAGGAGGTAGTTAAAACAATGACTTTCCTTTCTGTCCACTCACCTAGCAGTGATGTTGGATTTGGGAAAAATTCAAATATCAGTTATGTGATAGTAATAATTGACTTGTGAGTTGCCTTTCAATAGCAATATTCTGTTATTTCTGTGTTTCCAGTGCTAGTATTAGCATTTTTATTTTTCAAATAAAAACAGGGCAATTTGTTCATCATTCTGTTAGTGGCACCCATCAGAGTATTTTGTAAACTGTTTGTACGTCTTTTCCTCTCAGCTCAAAGCACAGAAAGTCATGCTTTATTAATCTTTATGTACACTCCAAGTAACATCATGCCTGACCCATAGCAGATATTCAATTACTTTCTCCATCGGAATTTTATTAAAAAATTACTATTGAGCTGTGAAGTTCACCTTAAACAACATACATATAAGTAAATATCATCAATGTAAATTATCCAATACTGTTGAAATCCAAACTCACTCTACACACCTTTAGACAGGAGGAATGACGTCTTGAGAGTATTGCCCAATTTTCTCTTCTCATTCACCTTCCAAAATGCATGCTAGTTGCCTTAAGGCTTCTAAAGAACCCTGAAGGCAGCATCTCACTTTGTGTAGGAAGAATTAGTATAGCTGCGAGGTGATCCCAACTCCTGCCTGTCTGTTGGTTCTGAATGCTCCATTGACTTCAGAATCCCTGCTAAGAGATAATCCCTTCTGCAAGAAGGCATTTATTTTAGTCACAGTTTCATTCCTCAGGTTTATAGCTGCATAGCACCATATTCTAAATTATAGGAAAAACATGGAGAAAGCTAAAATGATTGGTTTGAACATATTTGACATCTTTTTTATGATTTATATTATATTATTTACTGTATTTAAATTGGCTTACTTGTTATTTTTTTGATAGAATGACATATGCTTCTTTCTCTACCCATAGATGTAAGAATTTTTTAAGAAAATATGAAAGACCTGGTTTGACAAAGGAATTTTTCTAACTTATGAATATATTGTATCCCTTCACAAAGATACACAATAAATTGTGTTTATCAGCAGTAATAAAATTCCATTAAACTAGCTCTGGTGTTTGAGACCGAAGATGTATAGTTTCCATATGCATGTCTTTATACAACACTAAGCACTCGGTAAATATGTATTAGTTAAATAATGTAATAATAGAATGTGCTCCTTTCCATTGATCATAGACTTTAGAAAGACTTTTATCTAACAGAAGTGTTTTCTCTATCTCCTGGGTTTACTCACAGTAAACAAATCCGAGCTGTGCTGGGCCAGTTCAGCCAGGCAGAAGCCTTATTAACGAAAGCTGGGGTGCAGCCAGGAACTTTTGATGGAGTTCTTATGGATCTTGGGTGTTCCTCCATGCAACTTGATACTCCTGAAAGAGGTTTTTCCCTTCGGAAAGATGGCCCCTTGGACATGAGAATGGATGGTGGCAGGTGAGTATTCATAAAGCACTTCTCACAACAAGAAATCAATTTGTCAAAAACACTCTGAATTTATTTTTTTTAAGACTACAGAATTTCCATTACATGCCTACACCTAAAACTACCAATACATAATAAACCAGTTTGTTTGATACTCATTATACACATCAGTATTTCTCTGGATTTAGGATTTTTAAAGAAAAACAATTACTGCCTTTACACAAAATAGTGAAGAGTATAACTTTCATACTGATTATCTTTTTTACTTATACAATATGGGTTTTAGAGTGTTAACCAATGTCAGTAAATATCACGATACTGCAATAACTATTTCATTTTTATTCATGCCCAACTATGCCTCTTGTGAGAAGCAAAAAGAACTATATATATTTAAGGCATCCTCTTTTAGAATACCAAAAAAAAAAAAAAAAGGCAAGATCTTAGAGTCAGTAAGTGTGTTTTGTCCTGTCTTATACAATCACTTTGAACCTTCTCCAGAAAAACTGTAATTTATGATATGATATCAAACACAGTACTATAATAAGATATCCTCTATACTTCCTCTTCCTGGAAATACCAACATTTATTCTCCGTTATTCAAATAGATTAAATAACACAAAAACAATCATATTCTAGGAAAGTATAGAAAAAATTATTTTCTTTCTTTCTTTCTTTTTTTTGAGACAGAGTCTCATTCTGTCACCCAGGCTGGAGTGCAGTGGCATGATCTCAACTCACTGCAACCTCCACCTCCCGAGTTTAAGCCATTCTCATGCCTCAGCCTCCTGAGTAGCTGGGATTACAGACATGTACCACTATGCCTGGCTAATTGTTTTTGTATTAGTAGAGACGAATTTTCATCATATTGTCCAGGCTGGTCTCGAACTCCTGACTTCATGTGATCCACCTGCCTCAGCCTCCCAAAGTGCTGGGATTATAGGCATGAGCCACCATTACCGGCCAACAATTTCTTTATATTAATTGTCTAAATTAATGTTAAAAGCTTAGATTAGGACCTGTGTCTATTCTCAATACTGACCTAGGGAATGGACAGCCTATACCTGTAAAACTTAACTGTGGTTTTTCTCTCTCATATCATGCCCCACCACAAACTGCTTTGTTTTGTGGTAATTATTCACATATAGCCTTTTCCCCTATGTTGTGATACAACCTGTTAACTTGGCTTGTGACCTATATTTGTTGGGACTCTGTTGTTCCTAAATGTTATACCTTCTTTTGCACATGTTGTTGGCATTCACAGAATGAAGAATGTAATGATAAAAGAAAATAATAAAAATACTTTTAAAACAACTAACTAATAGTAAAAGTGAAATATAGTCTCATGTGTGGAGATGGAGGTGGTTGTGCAGAGGTAATAAAACATCAAGCCAATTTCTGAAATACAATGAACCAAACTTCTAGTTACTAGTAGTAAATCCCATATTGTTAATTTAAAGACTTATCAGCAAATTGTAGTTTGTGAATCAGGGTCCCTGTGGTTTTCCCAAGAGCCTGAAAATAACGTTGACACTGAGAATTAAACTCTTAAATTAATACCTAATGGATGAAATTAGAATTGAGTAAATATATCTTAAAATGTTGAATGGCTTTCGGGTAGATGGTATAGACTGTAACTTAATCAAAGATTTTAACAGCTCTGAAGCAAGTATTTAACATTTGAAAAGGGGGAGTTGATTCACATGAATTCATTGAAGAAGAAAAGTCATAGATTCAAACACGTGCAATGCTAATCCAAGTGGTATATGTTTGCCTTGGCTAATCCAGGCCAAAAAAATATGGCCTGTTAGTTCCTGAAGGGAGATTATCCCTGTGATGAAGACGGATGCAAGAGGCTTCCTTAACCAGTTGTCATTTAACACTGGAGTCTTAAAAAACATAATTTATTCTTTGCTGATTCTAATTTCAACAGCAGCTTTCAGATTATAGTAAGGTTTCTCATGTAGAAGCCATAGAAAGAAATTCATAGCTTCAAGAATTTGAGAGTCTAGTTCTGTTGGCAGTTATAGTCTTCACTAGAAGGTAATTAATTATCACTTGTGTTTATATTTTCTTTCTAAGTTTAGTCACTGTAAGTCAGTGAACTCTGGAGGACTGACAAGATCAAATCTATTAGTTGGGGGGCAGCTCTTGGATCTTGACTCATTTACCACATGAATGCCTATTCTGAAGCTGCCTAGCAGCCTGCCAAACCTTCCAGTGTTGTACCTTTTGCACTGTAGCACTATGGAAACTTCTACACCATCAATCATTGTTAATATAAGAGTAAAATAAAATTATGTGTATTGTCCAATTACTTGTTTAAAGTAAAATTATGTGTATGGAACAAAATGCTTTTTAATTTTCTTATTTAAAGATAGAAAAATATCATTAAAAACTGCTAAGTACATCTATACTCATCATAAAATTCTCTTGGTAAAGCTGGACTGGATAAATTTCTAAATTTCACGTCATTAACACAGTTCATTCAGATGCTCGCTGGTTTAAGCAGTTGAATTCACAAATAGGTCAGGTTTAGCAGGGATTTTGTCATTTAAGCCACAAATTATGCTTTGCAAATTTATGAATGGGGAAGATCTAAAGGACAGTGGCATGCATTGAGCATCTTTTATATTGTAGGCATTATATTTCTGTTTTGCAATTGCATGCACCAATAATTATCCAAACCGTTCTGTGAGTTAAGAATTGTTACTTTCATTTCACAGGTTAAAAATTGAGGCTCTAATAGGTTAAAAATCTTACTCAATATGAGTAAAAAGGCCAGGATTCTAATCCAGATCAATTGAACTCCAAAAACCAGATCTTCATCCTGAAAGCTGAAGAAGCAAAGCCTACTGAGATAGAAATAGGGCTACCTTATAAGACGTTCATTGTTCTGTGAGTTTAATGGCAGACTGACATAAAAACAATTATTGTAAGCTATTCGGGAGGCTGAGGCAGGAGAATCGCTTGAACCCAGGAAGCGGAGGTTGCAATGAGCCAAGATCCACCATTGCACTCCAGCCTGAGCAACAAGAGTGAAACTCCGTCTCAAAAAGAAAAAAAAAAAAAAAATCTGAAAAGCGAGCTATGGATGAAAAAAAGAGACAAAGAGACATCAGAAGAGATGAAAGTCATGACAAATCTAGGGACAAGCCAAAGACAGCAAAAAGATTTTCTCCTGGAGGCACTAGGCATGTTAACAATGTATATTTTAGTATTTTTAAGGAGAGTTTCAGGTGTTTCTTGGCAGCCCCACTCTGGTTGGACCCTCAGTTCTTAAAGCTACCATACCGTTGTTACTTACAGATCCTCACAGTATGTTACCAACAATCAATCCAACATATTAACTGTAAGAGCAGTAACTGCACCATTAGCAAAGCTATTTTTCTAATATGTAAGGTCACAATAAGCTCATCACTTAGAATTCTTTGGCCCATTTCCCTAAGGTAAACAGGAATGGTCTGAACAGAGTAAATGCTGTGTCTGACTATAATTTATTCTATTTGACCAGAGGTTGGTAATTTTTATTCCTCCTCCACCTAAAATTACTATCTAGGCTTGTTCAATACTGCTTATTGATTACCTGGTTTTGTCATATTGTGACCTTTGTTATGGATGAATGACCAAATATTGTTAAACATTTGAATAATATGCATTATTGCCATTAAGGTTGTATGAGTTTTTGTGAGGGAAACTGACCAGCAGTATCTTTTTTTTAAATAGATTTTCTAAGTTTAATTTGTGTCTTCACAGGTAATCAGATATTTCACAGCCTCAGATTTAGTCAAGTTATTGAGATTTAGCCTTGTTTAAATATCATCTGCAAACCTTTTATCTTCTATACTGAAAAAAACATTCAAGCAGTAATTTAAATTTTGAACAACTTAAATTTAACTATTTTTCAGTGTTTTAGTTCAAGAAAAATACACAGGAACAATAAACATTTCTTTGTGAATTATAAGTTTAAGGTTATTATAATATTTTAACTTCCTGCTGCCTTGACCTTGATGAATGTTACAAACCATCACCATTTGCCATAATGATGGGTATTTGAAATAGAAAGTCTATTTCATTTGTTTAGTGTTTCAGTCTCTGACTTTAAAACCTCAGTTCTCCTAGACTATGTGTATATGTCTGACTTTATGTCTCAGTACTCTGAAGTTTCACCTCTTGTCAATGAAAACTGACGTCAGTGAACTAATTGGCTCTTCTTGTGCGTAGGTACCCTGACATGCCCACTGCTGCTGATGTTGTGAATGCTTTAGATCAACCGGCACTTGCATCTATCCTAAGAACATATGGGGAGGAGAAGCATGCCAGGAAAATCGCTTCAGCAATTGTTCAGGCACGCAGCATCTACCCCATCACCAGAACCCAGCAGCTTGCCAGCATCGTTGCAGGTAGCCTCATTAGTTCTCGACAGTGTCTAAGAGAAAAAATTATATTTACGTGTGTGCATGTGTTTGTGTGTGTGCACTCATGCACATGTGTGTGTGCATTAATCCCCCAAACTCCCAGAGGGGTTCATTTGTACTTGAAATCATGCAGGATAGAATCTTGCCTGTCTTTCTTTAATATCAGCTTTCTTTTGCTTATGCAAGCTTCTCCCCTTCAAAACCTCTCCCCCAAATACAATTTTTAAAAAAGTATACTGTAGTTTACTAATTTGTATAATAGTAGATTTTTATTTTACACAAGATAATTTATCATTTGTGCCTACCAAGGTGAAACATGAAATGATGAGTGAAATGATTTCTTGATCCATCACAATGGTTGATAAGCACCCTGTATAAGATCTGACATTACTTCTCTTAGTTTCACATTTCTGCATTTTAATATTGTGGGCAAAAGGAGAATTGCATTCCCCAAATGCTAAAATAAAATCCAGTGACTCATATATCTATTCCAAACAACCAACTAACAAAGGGTATATGATGTATAGGTTATTCCACTTTGTGAATGCTAACTAAATCAGCCTGAGGGGCTTATTGAAACATTTCATCTTTTCTGCTATTTCGCTATTCACCACCATAAACCTCTTGAACCTAACTCTAGCTAGGAGGCGCTTTATTATAGCCTTTCTGTTTGAAGCCAAAGTTGTTTCACAGCTGTGTTCCATGATGAAAGTTTTCCAAGGCAAAAATATAACTCCTGCAGTTATTTAACAGAATTCCAATGATAAATTCTTCATCTTGTTGGACTGTCTGAAACCCTGTATCATTTTTATTTACCAAATGTATTAAGATTTGTTTCCAGTGATTCCTATTAAATTACTTAAGTAAATTTTAAGAAGCTTTTTAAAAAGGAATATTTGTGTAACTTATAAATAGAACCTGATATTGGCTGTCTCTTTCTTAATATTATCCATAGTTTAAAAAGTAAAACTTAATTATAAATTCATTTAGATCTTTAGTATTTACAGATCATGTAGCAATTGTTTTATGATATAATTATAAGACAATATTCTATCTAGTTATCATAATGAAATATAAAGAGCTGTCTAGCCTTTAATTTTTTAAGCCACATATCTCAGGGTCCTTCGAACTTACTATTGAGATTTCTTTATGCAAGTTTAAGAGGAGAATTCTTGTGGTTATATGAACATAAAATATTTCATTTCTTCCCCCCTGAAAGAGTTTATACCAGCATGCTGATATTAAATTCATCTTCTGTCTGGTGTTCCTTTAACCACTCCGTACTCACTATTATGTCTCCACCGTATCCTTTCTGTAATTCTTTACCTACGTATTATTTTCTGTCTCCTGTACTGGAAAGAAAAGCAGTGAGAAGTGATACTTTTTATTTATAAGCAAATCTAAAATTCATGCTAAAAATGAGGGGTTGGGGCTGGAGAGCATCCTAGAAATTATCTAGTCAGAAAACCTCTTCTAATTAATAAGGAAACTGAGGCTCAGGGAGTAGTTTGCAATAGTAATCTAGAATTTGGAAGCTCATGAATTTGAGGCATAACTGGGAATCTTCCTTCAAGCTACCTTTTCTGTCTGTGCATCCTACCTTGTAAACTTGCAGAAATAACACTTTGGCATTAAGTAGAAATTATGTGAAGGTGCACAATAGGAACAATGTAAGTACTTTCAGAAAGATTATGATATGAAAAGCATATTAGAGCTATGAGAAATGATACAGTAAAAGTGAAAATACTCATATATGGTAAATAAAACCTCATTTTAGTAAGTGCCATTAAAACACTGAGTTATCTGGAACTAGTCCATTTTTATATCATAAATATCAGTCTGTAATAATACAACTTTGTTAATGATAATATGATTTTTTTGGAAAAGGGAAAAACAAAAATGTGTTTTCATTTTGTGCTCATTTATTCAAAAAATATTTTGAGAGAGGCTGATTTATACTAGGCACTATCCTAAACACTAAAGTTAAAGTAGGAGCTAATCAGATATAACCTCTGTGTTTACAAAGTTTATAGACTAATAGATTATACAGTCAGGGAACTGAATGAAAACATCATGTAATAACCTGTACTTACAGTGAAAATTCTCTTTCCTATTTATTGTAATGAAGAGTTGTGATAGTATGGTCAATAGAAAATTTGATAAAAGCAGAGATTTACTTGAGGTCAAGAATTCGAGACCAGAAGATGGCCGAATAGGAACAGCTCCAGTCTCCAACTCCCAGCGCGAGCCACACAGAAGACCGGTGATTTCTGCATTTTCAACTGAGGTACTGGGTTCATCTCACTAGGGAGTGCCGGACGATCCGTGCTGGTCAGCTGCTGCAGCCCGACCAGCGACAGCTGAAGCAGGGCGAGGCATTGCCTCACCTGGGAAGCGCAAGGGGGAAGGGAATCCCTTTTCCTAGCCAGCGGAACTGAGACACACAACACCTGGAAAATCGGGTAACTCCCACCCCAATACTGCGCTTTAAGCAAACAGGCACACCAGGAGATCATATCCCACACCTGGCCGGGAGGGTCCCACACCCATGGAGCCTCCCTCATTGCTAGCACAGCAGTCTGTGATCTACCTGCAAGGCAGCAGTGAGGCTGGGGGAGGGGCGCCCGCCATTGCTGAGGCTTAAGTAGGTAAACAAAGCTGCTGGGAAGCTGGAACTGGGTGGAGCTCACAGCAGCTCAAGGAAACCTGCCTGTCTGTGTAGACTCCACCTCTGGGGACAGGGCAATAAAAAACGCAGCCGAAACCTCTGCAGACGCAAACGACTCTGTCTGACAGCTTTGAAGAGAGCAGTGGATCTCCCAACACGGAGGTTGAGATCTGAGAAGGGACAGACTCCCTGCTCAAGTGGGTCCCTGACCCCTGAGTAGCCTAACTGGGAGACATCCCCCACTAGGGGCAGTCTGACACCCCACACCTCACAGGGTGGAGTACACCCCTGAGAGGAAGCTTCCAAAGCAAGAATCAGACAGGTACACTCGCTGTTCAGAAATCTTCTATCTTCTGCAGCCTCTGCTGCTGATACCCAGGCAAACAGGGTCTGGAGTGGACCTCAAGCAATCTCCAACAGACCTACAGCTGAGGGTCCTGACTGTTAGAAGGAAAACTATCAAACAGGAAGGACACCTACACCAAAACCCATCAGTACTCACCATCATCAAAGACCAGAGGCAGATAAAACCACAAAGATGGGGAAAAAGCAGGGCAGAAAAGCTGGAAATTCCAAAAATAAGAGCGCATCTCCCCGGCAAAGGAGCGCAGCTCATCGCCAGCAACGGATCAAAGCTGGACGGAGAATGACTTTGACGAGATGAGAGAAGAAGGCTTCAGTCCATCAAATTTCTCAGAGCTAAAGGAGGAATTACGTACCCAGCGCAAAGAAACTAAAAATCTTGAAAAAAAAGTGGAAGAATTGATGGCTAGAGTAATTAATGCAGAGAAGGTCCTAAACGAAATGAAAGAGATGAAAACCATGACACGAGAAATACGTGACAAATGCACAAGCTTCAGTAACCGACTCGATCAACTGGAAGAAAGAGTATCAGCGATTGAGGATCAAATGAATGAAATGAAGCGAGAAGAGAAACCAAAAGAAAAAAGAAGATAAAGAAATGAACAAAGCCTGCAAGAAGTATGGGATTATGTAAAAAGACTAAATCTATGTCTGATTGGGGTGCCTGAAAGTGAGGGGGAAAATGGAACCAAGTTGGAAAACACTCTACAGGATATCATCCAGGAGAACTTCCCCAACCTAGTAGGGCAGGCCAACATTCAAATCCAGGAAATACAGAGAACGCCACAAAGACTCTCCTCGAGAAGAGCAACTCCAAGACACATAATTGCCAGATTCACCAAAGTTGAAATGTAGGAAAAAATCTTAAGGGCAGCCAGAGAGAAAGGTCAGGTTACCCACAAAGGGAAGGCCATCAGACTAACAGCAGATCTCTCGGCAGAAACTCTCCAAGCCAGAAGAGAGTGGGGGCCAATATTCAACATTCTTAAAGAAAAGAATTTTAAACCCAGAATTTCATATCCAGCCAAACTAAGTTTCATAAGTGAAGGAGAAATAAAATCCTTTACAGATAAGCAAATGCTTAGAGATTTTGTCACCACTAGGCCTGCCTTACAAGAGACCCTGAAGGAAGCACTAAACATGGAAAGGAACAACCGGTACCAGCCATTGCAAAAACATGCCAAAATGTAAAGACCATCGATGCTAGGAAGAAACTGCATCAACTAACGAGCAAAATAACCAGTTAATATCATAATGGCAGGATCAAGTTCACACATAACAGTCTTAACCTTAAATGTAAATGGACTAAATGCTCCAATTAAGACACAGACTGGCAAACTGGATAAAGAGTCAAGACCTATCAGTCTGCTGTCTTCAGGAGACCCATCTCACACGCAGAGACATACATAGGCTCAAAATAAAGGGATGGAGGAAGATTTACCAAGCCAATGGAGAACAAAAAAAAGCGGGGGTTGCCATACTAGTCTCTGATAAAACAGACCTTAAACCATCAAAGATCAAAAGAGACAAAGAAGGCCATTACATAATGGTAAAGGGATCAATTCAACAGGAAGAGCTAACTATCCTAACTATATATGCACCCAATACAGGAGAACCCAGATTCATAAAGCAAGTCCTTAGAGACTTACAAAGAGACTTAGACTCCCATACAATAATAATGGGAGACTTCAACACTCCACTGTCAACATTAGACAGATCAACGAGACAGAAAGTTAACAAGGATATCCAGGAATTGAACTCATCTCTGCAGCAAGCAGACCTAATAGACATCTATAGAACTCTCCACCCCAAATCAACAGAATATACATTCTTCTCAGCACCACATCGTACTTACTCCAAAATCGACCACGTAATTGGAAGTAAAGCACTCCTCAGCAAATGTACAAGAACAGAAATTATAACAGACTGTCTCTCAGACCACAGTGCAATCAAA